GGTGGAGGTTTTAGTGGAAAAAAAAAAAAAATGGGGGGTGCCTGGGGTTTGAACTGGCAGTTCGCAGGACACCTGCTGCAACTCTCGGATATTAGCGAGCCCCAGCCAATAACAAGAGCCCGAACATCTAATCGCGTGGATAACGAGTGTAAAGTGTATGGGCCGATGTGGGGTAAAAGCGGTTGAACGATAGAAGGGAGGTCAGGAGTCACGGAAGAATAAGAGGGATAGATGGAGGGGAAAATAAGAAATAAAGGAATGAAAAAAAAAAGTACTGGAGTGAGAAAACCACCTTGCGTTTCTGTGCCTGGTGTGTACATTTATACACGTGTCTCTTTCTCACTTTAATGGGGCAATGCATACGCCGGAATTAGCGGAAACACCAGTCTGTTCTAATAATAAGCCAGTGTTGCTTTACGTACACTTGAGTTATTTTTCAGACAGTTATTAGGTTTCTTATCGTGCTGGTGGTCAGTGTAAGACACTTTATTTCAATCGAAGGACATTCTTCATCTATTTTCTTCGATGACAAGCGCAGTTTTGGCTGGGACGGCTAAAATTATTTTTTTCAACGATAAATCCGTTCATTCAATTACCCCTGGGATCATACGTCGAACGTGTATTAACGTAATTACAACGTGGGGTAATTAGGGTGGGTGTACTTGACGGTTTTGGATGCTGAGTCTTCAGCAATGGGTTGATTGATTTTTTTATCTGAGGGAAATAAGGTCTTGGGGTATTTAAACCAATCTAAATGGTAATTAATTACTCCAAGTAATTTTTATTTATATTGAAGATCTTAAATTATTTTAATGTCTTTTCCCAGAAGTATGGATTCATTAAAAAAATGTTTACAGAATATAGAATAATCAGAAATGATTATTATTAATAATGATTAAAAATATTGAAAATTCATTTCAAATTTAAAGCAAGGGTGGAGATTTTTTGGGGGTGAATTGAAAATTCATTTCAAATTCAGAGCAAGGGTGGTTTTTAGGGGATGAATTTGAGAGAATACTTTTTTTTCTTCTTCTTCTTTTTTTGGAATGTCTGACAATTTTTGGTCTAGTGTCGTGGGAGGTCACGTACATCCGCGGTGTACAGCGTTGAACGCACCAATAATCATTAGTCACTCGTACTCAATATCTCGCTTCCCAAGATCCCTCTTCTAGTTGTGTACATGCAGTTGTCGTATATTTGTGTCCAATCTCTCTCTCTCTCGTTACCTTCCTCTTCATTTTCCTCGGTCGTTGCCTAAGCGGAACACAAACGTCGCGCCGTTCAACGACGCGCAATGGGAATGTCAATATAGTTGGCTAGAATTTCCGTGGGTTGTTGCCCTCGAAAATAAAAATAATAAGCTCAGGGGATTAATGACTACCGTTTATTCATCGGAATTGACTATTTGTTCGAGTGGAAATTTCCTGACCTGTCTAATTTGTTTTTATTGATTCACATTTTTTGGTCGAGTGTCTGGTACTTGGAGGGAACATTTTTTATCTTGAGAAAGGACTTTGATGTTTCGCTGATTGATAATTATGATTTGTTTAGATGTTTTCGTTATGAGAGAGGAAAAATATTCGGTGGAAAGAGTCAACTAAATAGTTGGTAATTAAAAATAAATTTTAATGAAATTATGGAGAGAATATGAAAGATTTCAAGGATTTCGAGAATCCAAGTCCTCCAAATTTTGTAACTTTTCCAAAAATTCAAAATTTAGATGAAATTCAAAGAACTCCAGGAATTTCTATAAAAATTTCAAAACTTATTAAATATCCAATATTTCTCTGATTTTTCTTGATTACAATGAGTGAATTAAAACATCAGGTGTTCCATAAAAAAAAATCACTGGAATAATTCATTTTTGGAAATCTGAATAATCGAAAATAAATTCATGGGACATCATCCACCGATAAATAAAAAAAACCATAAACCCCATCAACTCGTCGGTTAATTAGCCTTTTGTGAGCCGTCATTAGCATGATTCCAGGAAGGCCGAATGGTCCGTTTATCCCGTGACTCGTCTAAATTATAACAACACCTGTCCCCCCCCTCGGTAACTACGGTAAACAAAGACACCCCTTGTTTCACCTGGACAGATTGAAATCGATACAGGAGGATAATAGTCGCCAAAAAAAAAAATGGCTAAATTCACCCGGTGGAAAGACAGGAGAAATATTTTTTTTTCGTAATGCCCGAGTATGAGAGCCCTTAATCCCAGCAGTGGATGCATCGCATCGTGTCAGAAGGACAACCGGAGGGTTAAATAAAAAAAAAATCATACGTGTGAGGGTGAAAAAAAAGTGGTTAAAAAAAAGAAAGAGGCAGGCGCGTGCCAAAAAGCCGACCAGCTGTCCTGGACAATGGCGGGCCGAGGGTGCACATGCGTAAACACGATCCACCAAAAAGTGCACAGCTGTCCCTCTGGGCTTTCTCAATATCATCCTTCAATCCTTTTTTTTTTTAAAACCCATTCGCTGGTTCTATCATCCCCTCGCATCTTCTGGAAATTATTTTAATTCGCTGGATGCTGCGTCTTCTTCTACATCCGGTGCTTTGTCCAACGTCCAGACTCGGTCCAGTCGTGATTTTAAATCCTGGAAATTGGTTCCTCTCGTGATAAATATTTATTCCAAAGTTTTTCAAATTGTCTTCAGGTGATGATTCACTGGAGTAGCTGCGAGATTATCCTTTTCTGGTTGAGACTCTCCGCTTTGAACTTGAGATTTAATTTTTTTTATTTGAGATTTTATTTTTATTTTTATTTTTTACATGCCTGAATGGAAACATTAGGTTTTTCCAATAATCGGTGGATTCATAATTTTTATAGTGAAAATTGTTTGAGAGAGAAATCCCATCATTGAGTATAGCAAAAAAATATTGAATCCATGGATTCAGTTTTTGGGAAATAATTACGGAATTCATATAAATAAATAATTAAGAATTGTGGGAGTGAAGAATATATTGTTATATTTTAGTTCTTCATGCACAATGCAATTACTTGAATAATTGAAGAAAAATTTCAGGAAGAATACGAAATTCTCAGAAGTTTCAAAGAATATTCAGGGACTATAAAATTCTCAGCCCTGACTAATTATTACACGAGAAATTACTGAACAGAAAAAAAAAGGAGGCAACACTGATAAAAATCCAAACATGTCCCGTCATTTTCCGGGAATTTTTCCCGCAATACAGCTATTTATTTATCTATTGTTAATTTTTAATTTCTAATTTTTAATTTTTTAAAACCGAATTTTTGTACGTTTTCCGTAAAAAAAAATGGAGAAATTCAAGTGGAAATATTTCCGAAAAATGTCGGACACTTGAAAAAATGCAGAAGCGTAAAAACGCTCATTACTCGAGAAAAAAAAAATGGGCGAACAATGAATAAAAAAATGAAGGTCACCAGACGTGCGTTGGACGGGCCAATGGCTCCAATATCTATACGAGGCATTATTCAATGATAAAAAAATATCCAGAGTCACGACAATGTCGACTTACCCGATCCCTCGGCAGTGGCCGATGGTATCCGGAATGATTGCATTAAGATATCATTGAATGTAACAATATTAACCCCAAACGTCGGCATCGTATTATTATTTCAACGAAACTCCAATTTTCCACCCTCCGGTGAATTTCTAACCCTTCGACATCTCGGATAACCTCCAGACGTGTCCATACCATGGAAAAGTGTCTCGTCAGGTATTGGTTTAGTATTCGATGGTCGTTCCCAGTAAATGACAAAATTGGAGAAACGTTGGGTCTCGATACCGATACCGATCCACCGACTAAAAATTCTCGTCGATGTTCAACATACCTTTTACTCAGTTTTCCCTCCCCAGAGACCACTTTAATCACCTAAATATAGAAATAATCGGGGTCTGAGGATTGACTTTTACTCCATCTCACTTTTCAATGTATAATGCTTGCGTTGGGCATCGATCTGCCAACTGACCCGACTCTATTTCAAGGAATCCCTGATGCTTTACTACGTCCACTAATTTTATTCCACTTGGGGTGGGATGACCAGGGGTTGATCAGGAGTCAGGGTGTACGTAACTCTGAGATTAATCCCCAGACGTTGATTATAATGTACCTGTAAAATATAATTTTGTGTTGAGTCTCATAAATTTACTAATGATTTTAAAATTTATTTTGTTGCAGATCCAACCGTGACACCAAGAGGGGAGGTAACAGGATATTGTTCACCGACACAAGTGAATAACATCTACGACATTTCGTATGCAATCTAAGGCCAGTAGAAAGGGCGAAGGCCGTGGCCGGGGGTATAGCAGGAGAAAATTATATCCAAGACGTAATAAATCATCAGTGCGATCATCGCAGTGTTGGTTGGTAACCGATAACCATCGGACTTTGGTGAAATTAATGTCAAAGTGATCACGATAATTGGGGTATCAGTGGACAGGTGTGGGGATAAGGATTGTCCAGTGAATTCAACTTGTTGGAGTGGATTTAACTATTTTAATTGGTGTTGATGTGCGGGTGATTTTCGTGAATTTATTGGGAGTTTGATGGGTGGTGAGGTCCATGTTGTGAGCTTTTGGAGATCTGCCGCTGGCAGTGGTTAAAAAGTGGGTCCGTTGGTATGGAGTATGGCGGCGGCGCCGGTGGAGGCCGCGGGGGCGTCCAGCAAACCACTGGCGCACGCGGTATCACAGGCACCGATACGACCGACGCCGCGTGGCACAAACATGAGCAAATGATACTCATGGAGTCCTCCAGGCACAAGCAACAATGTGAGTTTTTTTTTTTTTCTTTTCAATTAACTAGCTTCATCTACAGACGCACTCCCGACATTATCCCGGAGAATCCCGTAGAATCATGTGGCTCATTTCACAGAAATAGCACATTATGCCACAAGGGCGGAAAGTCAGGTTTTACCGCCCGGGGTGCACTGATAACGTGTCTGATAAAAATCAAATTTGAAAAAACAAAGAAGGCAGAAATATTCTATAAAAATTACTGAACTTTTAAATTTATGCTGTCGTATCGTAATTATTCACTGAAAATTCAGATTAAAATTATTAAAATTATGGAATTTTCTGGGAAGGGTGCGGAATACTTCCGGGAAATTTTCCACTGGAATTCCGGGAAAGAAAGTTTTTTTTATTGAATATTCCTATGCGTAAAAATCCATTATACTTAAAATAATAATTATTTATAATAATAATTATTATTATGAGAATCCTCTTAGTTGAAAATTGAATTTATCGAGTAGATACGATGATTTAAAAAAAAATACAAAAATTCCGTCGAGACTGAAATCCCAGAGATTGAGGTTAATCGATGTGGGCATTTGCGAATGAAAGCCCAGGAATGGAGAGGTGAACAGATAGATAAAGATACAGAGAAGGGAAAAAATATTGGGGGGATGTATTTTTAAACGGAGGCAAAGTCCCTCCTATACTTAGGAATAGCCTTCGGTCGTTGCGAGAAATAGCGGTCACGTAGCGTTTGCTCTGGTCATCAGGAATATACGTCTCAGTAGACCTGATTTTTTTTTTTTTTCATTACGCTTTATTCGTTATCCAATGCGATCCCATCAATAATTTATTGGTGAGCTGATTATGCATGTAATGATTGGTATTGGGAAGTTGAGAGATTTTGAAATGTAACTTGGACCGATGCCTGATCGACGACTCTCCGACAATTTCAAGACTCTTCACTGATGATTATTTTCGTTCTGGCATTTCGACGGTAGAAAGACGAGGGAAAGGGGAGAATCCTTTTGATATCAGTCATTGACCCCTGTCGACAATAGGATTGTGTAGGGGTGGCCTTGGGTCTGGGCTTGAGGATATCCAAGTGCTCTTTACAGTTTCTCAGGGTTCGACTTTGTCAATTAAGGGTTTGCAAATACTTTGCCAACTTCCCATTCTCTATTACCCAGTGAAAACTCTGTAAATCTTGGGATTTCAGTTTTTACATTTTTGTCTTTTCACGTCTTACGATTTTTTAATTGCAAATTTAGGAGCCAAGTGGTGAACTATGATAAGTGAATTTTTTTTTGAGGCCAGTTTTTACTCGATATCTTGGAATCAAAGGGACATAGCGAGTTTTTCGTGAACACACTTTTTGTGGGGAAAGATGAGAACTACAAAAAAGGTATCTACGAAAATGTCATAATTTTCCTTCAATTCCGAGAAATCCGCTGAAAACTCGCATCGAAAAAAAATGTGATTGAAAAATAATTGAGAGAAATGCAATAATTCGAACGAAAAGAGATAAAAATAATTGTTAAACAATAAATTATTTATCTTGGGTGTAATAATTTGAAACAGGACCAATTTTTCAAGTCTGATTGGTCTGAAGTAATTTTTTTTCTCTCGGTATGCGACGTGTTGAGTGCCAGGATATCCTTGAGCACTTGAAAAAAAAAATGTAAATTCAATTATCATAAAAAAGATGTAGTAAAGATGAACACTCCGACGAGGGAAGTTGAATCTTGTTAATTGTTCGATACAAGGGGCCATTAACACGACAGGTCCTCACGCTTTGAATAATTTAAAAGATCAATTCCCTCTCCGAGCTTTCAATTTTTTCTAACATAATTTCCAATATAATCGAACATTCTGATATCTACACATAAATTCCTTTTCTCCCTCGTTGCCAACGTGATTCCCCAATTAATTCTTTAATTCCAATGAATTAATCAATCCACTCTGAAAATTATTCCAAAAAATCGAGTAAAAAAAACGAAAATACTTGGAATTCGGATAATTAGCTGAAATAATAAATCTTGAGTACTTGAAATTGTGGCATGGAGATGCTCGTCGATTTATCGTCTCTGACGAACATTGAAATCATTTTTATTAATCCTCAAGATTTGTAATTTTATTTATTTATTAATCCGCGAGTTATCCCATCACTCCCTGTAAATCCATTACCAAATTGAAACGCCAAATTATTCCCGTCCCATTATATTTACCACGAGAATATTTATTACTCTATTTGCATATTTATTTTTCAATTGGCATTTCTTAATTTCATAATATTCATAATTTCATAAAATTCAGTGCAAATTTGTAATTGGAAATAGGAAATTTGAGTATTTATTTAATGGAATTGTTATAAATTTTTGAGACATGGTGGCACTGATATTTGGGGTTTTGATATTTTTTTTATGAAATTCGTGGGAATTCCGGAATTTACGAATGATAAAAACCATTTCATCTGGCAGAAAACCAATCTCACCTTAAATCCTCATAAAGTTGATATCGCACTGACTCGTGCTGTGGAAAATGACTCCATCCCTCTCCCTGAAACCCTTTCGACAAGCATCATATGCCCCATGATGAACAAATCTCACATGCATATGTACTACATAATTTCAGAAGCTTATGGCGTTGTACCATGTGCATTAGCCCTTCACAAAATCATGTGCATAAAAAGAAAAGTGTAAAAACTCCAAGTTTCACACAACAGCCAAATTTTTTTACTCTACCATTTCTCAATTATTTCTCATCACTAGATTATCGTATCAATAATTTTTAAATTCCGATGAATCTCCATTTTTTCATAAATTTTTCATCAAATTTTATTCTCTTCCTATTTTACTGTCCCATTTTCTAAAAATTTAATCATTTCTATTTTTCCAAAGAATAATCTCCCAAAATTCCCCGAAAATTGAAGTCGATAAAATTCCGGTGGTCGACCCCTTAAAATTAAGACAAAAATTTTCAAGTTTCCTGGAGTGGATTCTGGGCATGAGCACACAGAAATCCTGAGGAAGTGAAGAAATAATTTATACATAATTCTCTAGAGGATCATTATGAAGGATTAGACTGAGAGTTGATGTTACTGGTGTCATCGGTGATAAACAGTTGAATATATTCTATTAAAAATATTTGTTAATGCAAAGTAGAAGGTGACACCACGGGGCGTCGGCCCCCAGGACAACCACTCGTTTCACGTGTGTGTTCTACTCTCCATAGAGTCGATATATCAGCTGAGTGCGATTTGGCCCCATTCCCCTGCATGTCAAGTCTATTATAACAATTATAAATTTCTATTATTATAAATTTCCCCAAAAAAGTCAATTACCCCCATTTCAATTAAATTTCCATCGAAAGGGTTCCCTAAAACTGTAGTAAATCGGTGTTCTAGTTGAATCATCCCAGATTTCCCCAGGAAGACCTGAATTTTCAGGCTTGAACTAAAAATATTAATAATTCAATTATCACATAAATTTTCTACAATTTATTTGAATTTGAGGATGTGATGATGAGTGATCGCGTTATCAGTTCAAGTGAAAAATTTATAATCGTGTAATCTGCACTCATCCTCGAAGAAACCCTTCAACCCACACCCTGTGAAGTTCCCGCCCAAAACCTCACCAGGGATGTCGCCTCCTTCCGCCACTTCTTCCCTGAAAATTGTTCAATCATCTCTCGATCAATTAAATCAGAAACACCATCCCTTCAAAACAACTCACCAAACCTCAGAAGTATTTTCAGGATCAAGTTAAATTTCACAACCCCTAGCCTCCCCTCCCTCTCCCCCATTGCCCTCCAACTCAAAATACAGAAATGTAAAAATAAATTATCAATCCTAATATAAAAAAGACTTGAAAAAATACTTGAAATAATACTTGAATAAACAAATGAAAAATAAAAAGGCGCCTCCCCATAGAAGAGAAGATGAACCAGGTGGCAGAAGACGGCGTCTCCTCTATTTCTCGAGCGTCGGCGGCAAGAGGGTGGTTGGGTGGTTGGGTGGTTGGATGGGTGGGTGGATTGGTGAGGTGTAGGTAGGATGGAGAATAAGAGAAGAGCGGGTGGATAGGGTGGATAGGGTGGACGGGGTGGATGGGGTAGAAGAGAGAGCAGAGTGAGCTAGTCGGTCGTCGGTGGTTGCTCCACCCCGGTGCGACACGATCAATACTCTCACCCTCTCGCTCAAATCGCCTCTGTCTGGCTGGAGTCCTGGAGTGAGATAGATAAACGTGTATACGTATATATTGGTTGGCTCACTTTTATGTTGGACGGGTGGCGGTGGCGGTGGCGGTAGCGGTGGCGGCACCAGGAGCACGGGTTTAGCAGCCGCAGAGAGAGAGGTCCGCCCAGTAGCATCCAGCAGTGAGGCCAGTTCGGTTGTTCCTGTACTCGAACGCGGTCTTTCTGTTGCTATGCCGGCACCTCATTCCCCACCTCCCACCTCCC